CAAAAAAGACAACTGCTCATTAATAAGTGGAACATGAAACATACCAAGGATGAATCTAGGAAAATTGGAAATGATCAAAAAGGATATGAAATTCACGAAGACCAAAATCCCAAGCACCAGTGACCGAAAAGGACTGGTATTAGCCATTTAGCATCAAATAATTATGTTGTTTATTATTCTGAAAATGACATATATTCAAGAGAAATGTCATAGAATTTATTGATAAAAAGAATACTTCAAGAGGTCTCTAAAAGTACAATGCTGTCTGTGATAATACCTGTGCACATATAAGGAAATACAGCTAGTATTCAAAGCTGCTCACCAACCACTAAAGTTAGTGATAAAGAAGTAGAAGGGATCTACCAGCTTCTTTGCTGTGACACTTAACAGATTTCCAATCAATATTCATTGATAATTCTTGGCGATTGAATGTGAAAGTTGTAGACAAATGGGATAGAGCAGTAGTTGGAAAATATTGCCTTGGTGATGAAAACGAAGTTGGATTGTATGATAAAATTTTGCAAGACCAACAACTTCTTCACTGCAAACACCCTTTTTCAATGACATAAAAAGCAACGTACACACAGAGCTTGCTAGATGGAATTCACAGGAATAAAATTGTATTTGTAGAAAGAAATTTTGTCAAAGCCAATACAAGACCAGGGGATAACTGTGGAGTGACTAAATTCCTCATATGTAAGTTCAGGTTGAAGCTGAAGAAATTTTTTGAAAACTACACGAATGCTGAAATATGGCCATGAGTATATTCATTCACTGCCATTGAGTTGATTTTGGCTCTTACGGACCCTTTAGGATAGGGCAGAACTGCCCCCTCTGAGCTTCCAAGTCTGTAACTCTTTATGGGAATAGAAAGTCCCATCTCTCTCCCAAGAAGGGGCTGGTCATTTCAAACTGCGGACTTTGTAGTTAGCAGCCCAGTGTATAACCACTACTCCACCAGTGGCCCCTGATGAGCAGTGTATCCCTGCTGAAATGTGAGACCATCTTAAGAATGGTCTTCATTCACTGAGCACTATTTAAAGAAGACACGACAAATTGTGAGTTGTTACCAAGAACATCATACTTGAATAAAGCAAAAAAAAAAAAAAAAAAAACAACAGGAAGAAAAGCTCAAAGTTGCTGTTGGGAGATACCCTGAAAGTTGCTCTGGAATGTAGAGCTTCTAATGCCAATTAAATAAATGATCCAATCAAAGAACTGAACATAAAATTCCAAAGGGCAGCGCCAGAAGCCAAAGTACATTATGATCATGAAATGTCCGAAGACCTGGAGTTAGAAAGCCTTAAAGGAAGACCACACGCAGCATAGCGTAAACGGAAAGAGCTGGAGAAAACAATGAAGCGTTGAGGTGCAATCCTGAAGTGTTCCGTGGGCCAAATGTCGAACACTGTAGGACGCATCAAAAGACTGCACGAAATGCACAGAGTGACTGTCCCCAAAGAAGCCGTTGACGTTCAACTATTTCATGACTTAGCATATGAGCAGGAACTGGTGGTTCTGAAAGGAAAAATGTGAACACCGCAGGCATTATTAAAAACCACTCACGGTCATCGAGTGCTCTCCGACTCACAGTGACTCTATAGGACAGGGTTGAATTGCCTCTGTGAGTTTCTGAACTGTACCCCTTTATGGGACTAGAAAGCCTCATCTTTCTCCCACGGAGCAGTCAATGTTTGCAACATGCTGACCCTGAAGTTACTAGCCCGATAAATAACTCACTACCTCTTCAGGGAATTAACTGATGAAATACCAGGAACCCAAACTGAAATATTTCAATAAGTAGATGATAGATTCTTCTATGGCAAGCAATTTGGAAGATAGCTACATGGCCGACTGGAAAAATATATATATTTGTACCTATCCCCAAAAACAGTGACCCCATGGAATGCAGAATTGAACTGTATCATTAATATTACATACCACAGAGCCCACTTCCTGCGTAGCCATGGCGGCGAACGCTACTATGAACCCATCGCAGCTGCTACCTCTGGAGCTTGTGGACAAATGTATAGGATCAAGAATTGGCATTGTGATGAAGAGTGGCAAGGAAATTGCTGGCACCCTTATAGGTTTCAATGACTTTTGAAATCACACCAGAAGGAAGAAGGATTACTAAATTTGATCAGATTTTGCTAAATGGAAATAACATGACAATACTGGTTCCTGGAGGAGAAGGACCTGAAGTATGAGTGCATTTTCTTTACTTATGCTTGCTTCCGTTTTGTTTATAAAAGCCACAAGATGAATTTTTGGGTAACTTTTTAATCTTGAAATAGTATGATGCTAATTTTCCCATTTGTGTGAAAGGTAATCATGATTATCTTGGGAGAACAAAACGTTTACAGTTTGTTTGAAGATGAAAATAAAGGTGTTTTTGGTTAACTGTAGCTTTACTTATTTTACTGTAATGGTCAATGTGACAAAGATTGTCACGTGTTTTTATGCCTGTTTGCTTCCTGAATTGCATGGCCATTTGCTTTTCAAACAAAAATTGTTCCAAACAGAGTGATGATCTTTGACTTTGAGTAAGTGCATTTTAAACATTTGAAGTGGTTACTAACAAAATTTAGTACAAGTTCTCATGTTTCATAAGAGAGAACTCAAATTCTGTTAATCCCTTTTAAAATGAAGAATACACAGATAAATATATACATGCTGTCAAAAATGCAGATAAGCCCATTTTACTGTATATTCTCTTTCTCAGTGTGTATTTTATTTTGAAAATACTTGTTCATCTCGAACATACTATTTTGTAGTCACTGTTTAAGTCCTCTTTTGAATTTAAATGGGAAAAATTTTACATGTATACTACTTAATTAAATGGATTTGTCACACACAAAACATATTACATACCATAAAATGCAGCAGTGAGCTGACAGAAATTCAAGCCAGACTCAGAAGTGAATGTTGTCCACAGCATATCATTGCTGACAACAGATAAATCTTGGCTGAAAGCAGTGAATACCAGAAAGATGTTTACTTATGTTTTATCGACTATGCAAGGGCATTCAACTATGTGGTTCATAACAAACTATGGATAGCAGTGAGAACACTTCATTGTCCTCATGAGGAAGCTGTTCCTGGACAAAGAGGCAGAACAAAATAAAACAGAGCCCAACAAGTGAACCCTGAAACGTTCAAATCTAGGATGTGGGCTTCATGGTTGTATCCTTTCACCATAGTTATTCCATCGAGAAGCTGAGAAAATAACCAGACAACTTGGACGATATGAACAAGGCAGCATAAGGTTTGGAGAAGGCTAAATAACAATGTGAGATATGTATATGATAGACCCTTGCTAGCTGAAAACCAGGAGGCCATGAAGCCCATGATGATGGAGCTCATGGACTGCAGTCTTGACTATGGCTCATAACTCAATGGAAAGAAAACCCAAATCCTCACAACTCCGGCAATAAATAACATCATGATAAAAGGAGATGTGATCATTTTTTGGGCCAACATGGCACCTGTAAAAAGATATGCGTGGAGTTTAGCCTGTCGGTGAGGTCGCAGCTTGATGACCGCTGGAGGTGTAACCCAAGGTAAATGGCTGCTGGAGGCTGGGCCCTCTCTCTCTGCCTTCACCTTTATGTTGATGAGCCATGCTGCGACCTGCATGAACCTTGTGATGCTTCCACTGCTATTGGATCCACAATCCACAGGTCTGCACCCACCGACCTGTGATCTTCCTGCATGCTGCATTACTGCATGTGGCTGTGTGAGTCTGAAGAGAGATTGATGGACTAATACGGGACTTTTGGACTTGTGTTAGATGGGGCTTGGATATTTTATCGATGCAGGATTTTCTTTCTATATAAAGCTCTTTCTTCTACATATATGAGTGCCAATGGATTTGTTTCTCTAGTCAACCCAGCCTAACCCAAGAGAAAAAAACTTTAATTGTAAAGTATATCATTTTGCTTGGATCCACAATCAATATTCATGGCACTATCAGTAAAGAAATCAAACAGTGAATTACCTTGGACAAACAGTGAATTACCTTGGACAAATCTGTTGCCCAGTGCGAAAGAGTAGCTGTCATTTTGAGGACTAAGGTGCACCTAGCCCAAGTCATGTTTTCAAAAGGCAAGTTTGCATGTGAAAGTTGGACAACACAAAATGAAGACCACAGAATAATTGATAGATTTGAATTATGGTGCTAGTGAAGAACACTGAAAATATTCCCTGAATGAAATATGGACTTCTCGAAGCACAAAAAGTTCTGTCTTTCAAAAAGCACAGCCAGAGTGCTCCTTTGTAGCCAGAACAGTCAGATTGGCACATCATTTGGACCTGTGATTGCAACCAGTCCCTGGAAAATGGTATCTGCTTGGTAAAGTGGAAAAGCGGGACAAAGAAGACCCTTTACTGAAAAGGGTTGACCCTACTACTGTGAGTTCAAGCACAGCAATTGTGAGGGAGACCCCGGAGCAGGTGGTATTTAATTATGTTGGCCAAAGGGTCCCTATGAATGGGAACTTACTGGGTGGCACCTGCCAATAAGAATATCTTCCATTTCTGATGAGAATGTAAATAGGTAGAGCTACTATAGAAAACAGTCTAGTGGTGCCTCAAAATGTAAACATTGAACTAACACACTAATTTCTGTAAAATCAATTCAGACACATAGCAACCATATAACACAGCCTACAACTGTCTCCTACTGTTTCCAAGTAAGCCATCTTTACAAAAGCCCCTGCCACCTCTTTCGACTGGTATGTCTAAACCACTCATCTTTAAGCTTAACAGTTGAGTGCTTAACCACTGCACCACTAGAGATCATTTATTTATTTATATTTATTTTGAACTCACCGCCATCTAGTCAATGCTGACTCATAGTGACCCCCGTGGGTTTCTGTGACTGTAACTGTTTATAGGAGTAAAATGCCCAGTCTCTCTCCTAGGAGCTGATAGTAGTTTCAAACTGTTGACCATACGTATCGCAGCCCAACGCATAACCACGGCAACACCAAGGCTCCTAAAATATGGAATGCTTCAGGGATTTGCGTGTCATTTTTGCACAGCAGCCGTGCTAATCTTCTCTGTATCGTTCCAAGTTTAGTATATGTGCTGCTGAATTTACCTGGCAATTCCACCCCTGGATATACATCTAAGAGGCTTGAAGATAACACTATGAACAATTGCCCAAAGGAAGCAATTTAAATGTGCATTAGAAAATGTGTTCCTATACTTAATGGGATATTACTCAGTCATGAAGACAAATTAAGTTCTTATATGTGTTACAACTTGGTTAAACATTGAACAGATTTTACTGAGTGAAGTAAGCCAATCACAAAAGGGCAGATATCATAGGATCCTGCTCCTTTGAAAAAGCATGGATAGGTATCCGTATAGAGATTAAAGTTTATTAATGAACAAGAGGAATGCAAGAGAGGGATCATTGATCGTTCTATATTTCAAACTTACCATGTTCTCACCTGTATTAGGCCTTTGTTCTCTGGTTACTCAACATAAAGTAATCTCCATAGACACTCTATTTATCACTGCTCATCACTGCTGGATATTATTGTCAACTTCCCTCATCTATTGTATGCTTCATGATAACAATCCCTTTGTTATTATTATTACTCATTTCTCTCTCTTCCTCTATCCCTCTATCTCTCTTTTCCCCTTTAATGCTTGGAACCATACCTGGCAGTTTATAAAATATACTTGTGGAATGGATGAATAAGTGAATAAAAGAACAGTGAGTAGTTGCTTTTATAAGCATTAGCTATCAAAAGTCATTTTTATTGCAATGTGGAAATTGCTCCTTTTTCCCATGCATGTTTATTGCTTCTTAAAGTTCTGAATGCACATGACATGTCTCTCCTGTGGCTGTACATTTCTATGGCATCTTTTACTGCAAGACAATTGGAGAAGGTAGAAATCTTAAGAAATTCAATTAATTGCATAGCACTTCCCCTTAGGACTTTTTCAGCATGGTTTCCAAGTCTTATTCATAAAAGAGCTTCCCTAAGTGACTGTTATAGACAGTATCCACTTGAAAACTGTCACCTCTAGACCCGTGGCTTTATTGATTTCTTCACTGCTTTTATTCTGAAGTATCAGTCAGAAACAAAATGGATAGCATGCTACATGGTTGATTGATAAGGGATTATTTTCTCAGAAGAATTCTGAAGAAGTGTTGATGTTCTGAAAAGGATAAGATTAGGTAGTAATTACTGCCCTGAGCTGAGCACTAGGTTTTATTATTTCTATGGTACTATGTAGGACAAGATGCTGCTGAAATGATTGAGAACTGACTAATAATAAGGTGGATGGAGAGTAAAACGTTATGAATTAAGGAGTATTTTAGGGGATAAATATCAGTATTCTCTTTTAATTGAAGGGAGCTTAGAGCACAAGTTAGGATATTGAGAGATAATGGGACCTGTGGAAAATTGTATCTAAAGAGAAATGTTCCCCCATAAGGCCTCAATAAAGTAATCAGAAAATGCAATAGAATAATCTCATGGGAAAATAAATTCAATATCCCATTTCAGAAATACTGCAGGACACCTGAATGCTGTTTTAATATCTTCTATTTTTTCTCTCCAAATACTAATGGAAAAAAAAGTCCCATTCAAATATTTCCTTTCCCAATGGTCAAAGGAAACTAAAGTTTTACATACATTCCAAAAATCAAACTTCTCAAGAAAGTTTAAGCACTTGTGGTAAAACTAAGCATACAGCAGAAGATGGAAGGAATATTATAATCATTATATGAAGAATGAGTTGATATCAAATCATTTCAAGAGGTAGCATATGATCAAGAACTGATGGTTTTGAAGAAGATAGCCAAGATGCACCGAAGGGTTGAAAGAAAGCATATGGGAATTGGTAGAATAGCAATTAAGACATTTTAATAAGTGGACACAATGCTGAAAATAGTCATCTCTGTCAAGAAATTTCTTAGACAGCTACATGGCCAACCAACTGGAAGGGATCCAGATTTATGTCCATTTCAGTGAAAGGTGATCCAACAGAATGCATAAGTGATTGGAAAATACCATTAATGTCCAAAAAGTAAAACTTTTCTAAAGATGATTCAAATATGGTTGCAGTAATTCTACAGGGAACTTCCAAGTACACTGGAAGGTTTCAGAACAGGAACTAGAATGAGGGATATCATTGTTAATGTCAGATGGATCTCAACTAAGAAAAACAATACAAGAAAGATATATACCTGTGTTTTATTAGCTCTATAAAGGCCTTCAATGGTATATATCATATTAAATTATGGATCATTTTGAAATGAGATTCCAAAACACTTACTTGTATTCATGGGGAATCTATACATAGACCAAGAGGCCATCATTCAAGGGGATATTGTGTGATTTAAAATCAGTAAAGATGTGCTTTGGAATTGTATCTCTTTACCATACTTGTTCAGTCTCAATACTGAGTGAACAATCTGAGAAGTAGGAATATATGAAGAAGAATTTAATATCAGAAGTAGAGGAACCTGTAATATGTAAATGACACAACATTGTTGTTGAAACAAAGATGAGATGAAGCACATACGGCTGAAGATTAAAATCTATAGTCTTCACTATAGATTAAAGGTTCAATATTTTAAAAATCCTTACAATTAGACTATTAAGCAATATCATTATGAACATAGAAAAAAGATGAAGTTGTCAGGGATTTTATTTTATTTATACCCACAAAAGTCCCTTTCAAAGTGTTAAAACAGCAAAGATGTGTCTTCAAGGATAAGACACATGTGACTCAAACCATGGTGTTTCCATTTTCCCATGTGTATGTAAAAGCTAGACTGTGAATAAGGAAGATGAGAGATTAACTGATGCACTTGTGTTTTGCTATTGGAAAAGAATCCTGAATATACTATGGAATGGCTGAAGGAGCCTAGTGGCATCATAGGTTAGAAGTTGGGCTGGCTGCTAACCAGGTCAATAGTTTAAGCCCACTAAGTGATCCTCTGGAGAAAGGCAAGATTATCTGTTTCCGAAAAGATTTACATCCTTGGGAATACAAAGGGTTTCTATATTATATGGTCACAATGAGTCAGATTAGATTTGATGGCAGTAAACGTGGTTTGGTTTCTTACCAAAAAGGAAGAAGAGCCAGAGGCTCCTGAGAAGGGAGGATAGTAATGTCCTTTGAGCATGTTGTCAGGATTGAGCAGTCCCTGGAGAAGAAAATCATGCTTCACAAAGTAGAGTGCCACCAAAACAGAATACCCGCGGCAAGGTGGATATGGTGCTTGCAATACTGGACTTAAACACAGCGATGATTTGAACATGACACCAAACTGAGCTGTCTCTTGTTCAGCTGTACACAGGATCCCTATGTGTTAGAACCAGTTCCAGTTCAATGATACCTAACAACAAGGAGTTATGAAAAAAAATGGATAAAAAGTTTAACTTAAATTTGGATTAAAGGATTTTAGTCTCAGTTCTATTATTTGTTAACTGCCCTAGCTAGTTCTCTGCCTCAACTTGCGAGCTACACTACCTGTGGGACACCCAACCCGTGGATCCTGTCCCTACAGTTTGAGACTCCTTCAAGACCTCCTTCACCACACTGCTGGTGTATACATCACTTGGGCTGGGAACTGTTGGACCCTGTCATCCGGCTGACCGTTGGTGACCTGCCCTGCTGTTTGCTGCCTCTGGCCAGATTGCCTGTATTGCCCTACGGAAGACTCAGCTGTCTGCTTCCTTGACTCGCATCCAGTAGTCCTCGTGAGTTGAAGGACTGCCAGTGTATTAACTGTCTCATGGAAGTGAGCTGAACTGAGCCATTTGTACTGCTCTGTGGACTAATTAGCTCTTTATTTCTTCATGTTGTATCTATCTATAATCATAAAGGTCCTGGTTTTGTTTCTCTAGAGAACCCTCTCTAACACCTAACCTGATAGGTTTGTCATATGATAGTCACACAGGGCTAACGCTGAGAAAGGTCCTCTGCTTGGCTTAAT